ATTAAATCTGTACTGTACAGTTTTCCAAGAAAGTCATCCCCACAAAACTATAAAGAAATAATTATGAAGATGTATAGGTGCAAATAAAATCGGCATTATGCAAAGCCAAATTAAATCATCCTAAGGAAAGCACAAAGCTGTGAATCTACAGAATGCAAGTGCAAATTAAACATGCATAAAGTACAAATTAAAAATGCATAAAGAAATTATTTAGACAATGTATAAACTTAGTGCAGTCAAATCCAGCGGCATAATGCAAGGCTAAATTAAATCGCCTTTGAGGAAGCGCAGAGCAGTAAATCTGCAAAATTCAAGGGCAAATCAAACATGCATAATGAAATTGTCAACCATCCGGTTACTAATGGCCCTCGAACGCCTTACCATTCCCTTATTTGCTTTCTCCTATTTATTTCGTAAAACCCACTCCCGTGAACTAAATCAAAAGTTATTCACCAAAAGTACAAGTGAATAGTGGTGGATATTTACCTCGCAGCTCGGTAAATATCCACCACTCTTACTGATGCTGAGAGAATAACTGTTTTAGTAGTATATGCCATATACGTAAACCAAAAATATCAGGTGAATGGTGCCCTCAAGGGCAAATAGGGGTATACACAATATAGTAGAACCTGTATTAAACGGTCACCCATAGGGAGTTTTGGGGTGACCACTTAATACAGTTTGACCTCTTAATACAGATATTTTTAAAAACGATAAAACGCTTCTTAATGTCATAATTGACCACCTCAAGTGTAGAATCTCGTTGCAAATTTTATTAACTTTTATTGTTGCAGAAAAAAAAAAGATTAAAAAGTACTTAAAATAGTATTTTTAGTTTTACATGGGTAGTTCCGCTTTCAGTGACCGTTCAACACAAGTGAAAAACATTTAAAAAATAGTCGATTTGGACTCAGTAAACGGTGACTGCGACCGCTAAATAGATGTGACCGCTTAATATAGGTACAGTTTACAGTGATTAAGGGATAAAAGATCCGGGACTTTAACAATTGCAACTGACAGCTTATTACATGGTGATGGCTTAAGATAGGTTCGACTGAAACTACTAATTAGTAGTGTACACCGGGCGAACGCCTGATTTTGGAAAAGCCATCAGTGGTTGGGTTGCAACTGAGGTCGGCTGCCCTTGCATATGGATCGGCACCTGACAAGCTTCAAGTGAGCCATAGCAAATGCCCACCTGAAAATGAATTGAGATATGATGTGTTTTATAACCTTGGTTCATTTAATAACTTGCAGTCTATTACAGTTCTTCTCTTGCACAATTGGTCTAAACGCGTTTCGTGGTTCCAGTATGCATCAGTTAAAAATTGAGGAATATCAGGTGTTCAGTATAAACCATGCAC